TAGAGCGTTTTTACTGTGATGTTTATTGACAGTAATTATGCATTTAAAAAAAATGCTTGCTATAACCTGTTCCTATATGATTGAAGTATGAAGTTTCACTTTCACCTTTAGATAATGTGTTGCTAAAATAATTCCCACAGGTGAGATTTTCATAGGTACTATTCTTTGAAAACTTTTTATTCTTTACACTTTGTTATTCAGCCTTTATCAACATTTAGAGAGAATCTGCCAAAACAACAGCCACTTTTAAGTCTTATATTCAGATAACTGAGTAGTTATACTTAGCCTGACTTTTTCCTCTGTGCAACTAACTTTAGAATGAGCCAAGTGCCTAGGAATTTAGTAGAGTTACTGTACAGCTAGAGCTCATTTAAAACATTTCTGGTTATTAGCAGACATTTGAAGTAGATGAACTACAGTGGGAAATTTCAAGCTGAAATATAGTTTTAATATTGTTAATATCTTAATATATTATGTCAGTGTACTTAGAAAATGCTAAATTTCTTTTGTTTTGAATTTGAATAGTGCCTTTGTAGAGACTTGAGTATCTTTCTACATGTTTAACATATTGATCTATTCTAAATTTGCCAATGGGTATTCTTTGTCTCAGACACTTGAACATACTATGTTTAAAAGTGACTTAGATTTACCTCAGTGATTATTGAATTTATTTTTACTCTTGGTCTTTGGGTCCATCTTGTAGAATAATTATACTTCTCTTAATGAGGCTTTTACTAGAGTGTTAGAATAAGTGTAATATAACATCTTGCATGTGTGGAAGTGGTTCCTTTCAGTTATTCATATTGAGGGAGGAACCTCTCTAAGATATCAGATACTGAAAATTAAAGCAGAAGTTTCTTTTGATAATATGAACCTGTAATTTTAGAGAATAATTTATTTTGATCTAACATTTATTTTTACATTCCGAGTAAATGACTTCAGTGGGACACTGATACAGTCAAACAACCAGTTTGTTTTGTAATCATACTCTTTTTTGTTCTAACTTCTAACTTTAAAATAATTTTAGATGTATAGAAAAGTTGCAAAGAGAGTACAGAGAATCCATGTATATTGTGGATACCCTACACTCAGCTTCCCCCAACGTTAACAGCGCTAATCATATTCTTATAATACCAATAGATCCAAGGAGAATAGCTGTCCACAACAGCTATTCTCCTTATCTGGGCAAGATAAAATTGAAATGTCATAAAGTAGGGACTGCTCTCCAAAAAGAATTGCTGATCTTTATACCAAAAGCAGACTTATGATACATTAGTAATTGGCTTTCGAATTTGCACTTTAAAAAAATGCATGTCGAAAGTATGCTATAGAGTAGTACGTTTATATTAATGTTTATTTTATTATTTGTTCCAGATTTCTTTATATAAAAGCTTTCGGTGCCTTTTATGCTTCATAATTATTGTTTCTTTGGATTAACATGGACTTACTTCTGTCCCCCTGAATCTTAGTGCTTTCAGTTATTAATGACACCAAAGATTTTTTGAGTCTACAAAATGCCAGACAATTATGTGTATGCTGATCTCAGTAAGTTGTCTCTTTCGCCAGCTCTCCACTTACCCGTCTTCTTTACTACTCAGTTATGGAATCTTTTCATGAAATTGTGGGAGTTTCCTAGCCCTGAAATGCTAACAGAAAGCAAGCGTTCTCAGCACTAACCACTGCAAACATTCTTTCAGCAGTATTGATTAAGCAGTCACAGAGATTGTACAGTCTTTGATAATTCATGTTACCCACTTAAAATGACATTAATGACTTGACTTTTCTAGCAAAAATTAATTTAGAGTAGTTTAGATGCTCTAACACACACAACCTATTAGGATTAGTAACTTCTTTCTAAAGAGGAGTATATTTCTGATAAGAATTGGATCTTCCTTTTTTTTTTTAATTTTTTTATTGTGCTTTAGATGAAGGTTTACAGAACAAATAGTTTCTCATTAAACAGTCAGTACACATACCGTTTTATGACATTGGTTAACAACCCCACGACATGTCAGCAGTCTCCCTTCTCGACCTTGGAGGACCTTTTTTTTGGTGAAAATATACATAGCCAAAAGTTACACCATTTCAAAAGTTTCTACATGTACAATCCAGTGACATTGATTACATTCTTCCAGTTGTGCTGCTATTCTCACTGTCGTTTTCCAAATTATTTCATCACCGTTATCTTCAACTCACTGCCCCCTAGGCTTCCCATCAAACCTTTTGAGTTGCTGTTGTCAGTTTGGTCTCACATAGATAATTCTTTTTTTTTTTTTGTACCTTAGATGAAGGTTTACAGAACAAATAGTTTCTTATTAAACAGTACACATATTGCCCTATGACAGTGGTTAACAACTCCACGACATGTCAACACTGTCCTTTCTTAACCTTGGGTTCCCTATCACCAGCTTTCCTGTCCCCTCCTGCCTTGTAGTGCTTGTCCTGGACTGCTGTGCCTCATTAGTCCCATTTTGTTTTATGTCAAGTCCCCAGCTGAACTGTGAACCTCGGGAGTGACTTCACCACTGAGCTAAAAGGGTGTCTGGGGGCCATACTCTCAGGGTTTCTCCAGTCTCAGGCCAGTAAATCTGGTCTTTTTGTGTGTGTGAGAATTTTGTTCTACCTCCTTCTTCAGCTCTGTCCAGAACCCTCTGTTGTGATCCCAGTCAGAGCAGTCAGTGGTGGTAGCCAGGCACCATCTAGCTGTACTGGACTCAGTCTGGTGGAGGCCTTGGTAGCTGTTGTACATTAGTCCTTTGGACTAATCTTTTCCTTGTATCCTGTTCTCTTCATTCTCCCTTGCTCCCAAAAGGGTGAGACCAGTGGAGTATAAGAATTGGATCTTGTGGTTCTTATCAAGAGACTAAGGCAGTTCATAAACTGATAATTGGAACTAAAAAAGTGCTGTAAGTGGTATAGTACTAGTTATAATTCAGGCAGTATATAACATAGATGACCACGTGACAAAGAGTCAAAGGCTAGAATGTCTCCTTTCTATGCAGATGCCAGGGCTTGTAGATTGTGCATGTTCTTTGAGGAACCTCCTCACACTCTGTAGTAGGCTTTCACTCTTCCTTATATTTTCTGTCTCCTCCCTTGCTGTCAGCAGAATGTCTCAATATTACTTTCTCTTTCTAACTAATTTTCCACTTCTAATCTGTTATATGCTGAATTGCTGTGTCTAGAATAAGAGTAAATTGGCTCTGAGAAAGACATTCTTAAGTATTAGGTATCTGAGACTTTAAAACATGTGACTGGTATTATCTGATTTTTTATTTGTTTGAATTTTCCTTGTTCTAAGTTATTTTATAAGTAGTTAAGATTTCCAAGTAGTTGACTTCTGGAGAGGTAAAATGTCTTACTATATTTTGGTTTATCGATTCTGTGTTTTATTTTTCCTGTACTGTCAAGTAGATGTTAAGTGTCTAATATGATCTTAGGTAAAAATTAAGATTTCCCTCTTACTGAGGGCTAATTGACTATTAAACAGGACTTTATGGTGTAAACTTACTGACTTAGTGTACATATCTTTAATAATAGGACAAATGAAACCCAGAGATTAACAGATTGAATTTAGGCATTAAAGTGTAAGTTATAAAATATACCCTTTGAAACAATGGAAGGCAAGGGCAGGATTCTGTATCACTGAGACTATTTCTGTGAATCATAGAAGTCAATTTTGAATACTTAATAAATTGGCTAAATGCCAAAATGTAATGTCAGGATATGAATCTTTCCAGAAACACAGTTTATTCTCTGTAATATTTTGCTTGTTATAACTACTATGTCGTCTTAGTCTCTTGTGTGCAGTTATACATGTCAGAATGTCCTACGTTTTGCTCTGCTGTTACTCAACTTCTTTATATTAGAAGTGCTTGAGTCCTTCGAAGTTATTTCCAAGAATCTTGCTCTGAAATAGTTATGCAATGATTTCATTTTTTAAAAGCTTAAGTTTGATTTCACTCATGAAGACTAATAAATCTACGTTAAAAATTGCAGTTCTGTTAAATCTGAGAAGTATTTCAGGCCACTAATAGCCTTCTGTGAGTAACAGAATTTTGTGCACAAGAGATGTGCTTAGAAAATGCCACATTTTAAGGTTGCAATATTCTTGGAAAGTCAGAGAAAGTATGCACATCAGAGAAGGCATTTTTATTACATTGGATTATGCAAGACTTTGGCCAGCCTCCTTAGCTTCATCTGTTTAAGGGTTCATTTTCGCTTGTTTGGCACAAGTCCCAGTAGAGGCCTTCAGAATTGTGGTTAGCAACATGAATGAATTACAAACTTTGGAGGAGCTGTTCAGTTAGTAGAGCTGGCTTCCTGCCAAAAAGACAGTGCCTTATATGGGGTCAGGGCAAAGCTGTGATTCGTTGAGCCCTGCATTGTATAGAAAACATACTTGTGATGCCTGTTTGCTTTCTTTTAAAATAAAAACAAAACAAAACAGAAAAAGCAGCAGGCTTACAAGTCTATCAAAATAGGAAGTAACAAAATAGTGTGCAAGTTTTACTAATGACAGAGTTAAGCGATGGAAATATGGCTCTGTGTAGTTAAAATACTAGAACTACAGGTCGGACCTTTTGACTTCCTTAGCCAGCCTGTAATGTAAGAGACTGAAGCATTTGTTAGACATCTGTTGTCTACCTGCCCTATTTTGTAAATGTTTTAATAAGATTAAATAATTAGTCCTGTGTTCACATGGTTACCATGTCACTGGGTTTTGGTTTTGACTAGATACTTTTAAATTAAAAGTAGGAATAATTAACTTTGTGGCAGTTATTTACTTTTTTTTTTTAACTTGGCGTTGTGTAATTTTTCTAATATTGAAATGTTGGAATGATAAAACAAGAATGAAATTAACATTTCAAAAAGTCAGGAAGTTTTGCTTTTAGTCTTACGTTGGGGAGAAGAGCTACTTACTAGGTCTGTTTGAAGCAAAAACAGTAAGTAATATTTTCAAATACAATTCATTTGTCTTTGTAATTCTTTCCATTTAGGCAAATACCCTATCTGGATCTTCTCTTGGTCAGGTGCCATCGCATATGTATGGCAGTAGGTTAAATCCAAATTCATCAATGGCAACTCTTATAGCTCAGTCTGAAAACAATCAAACAGGTAAGTTTTCAAGAATGATTAAAATCTAGAATTCTACTCCTCTCCCCTAATTTAATTTTTTTTTCCAGATTGGCTCATTTTATTTGAAAAGTCTAGGGGCGTGGTTAATATAGGATTTTATATATACATATCTTTTTTAATGCCCCCCCCCCAAAAAAAAAAGCCACAGTTGGAGGTAAATACTATGTTGTACTGCAAAATAGTGATGTGCTTTTTTCACTTTCTGAAATGTAAATGTTTTAGCAGAGCCATAAGCAGGCAGGAATGCAACAGTATCTCCTGTGACTTTTGTGATTGATGTGTTCATTTTTCAGGTCTGTGCAATGAAAGTAACATAACACTGGGCTTTTCTGTGACTAGCGTAAACCTTTATTTGCATCATTCATGAAACTACATTACACAAACTTGGTTAAAAAAAAATCCTGTTAGAGAATTTCTGCAGCATTTAGTAATCCTGTGAATTTTTACCAGTTGACATTTTGTAGCATTTGCCTTTTGCACTGTTTTAATAAGCCACTGGATTTGCTTTGTTTCATTCCATCCTTAAGGATTTGTTGACATGTTCAAGTAGTCATGCCTGTTTGGGGGAAGGGAATGAGTTTAGCAGTTTACCAAGAATGGATCAGTCATGTCTTTACCCTTCTAGGGTCAGAGGTGACCTGACTGAGAATGAGGGAAGGACAACCTTGAAAGAGGCCAGATAGGGTGATTTTAATAAGAACTAAGTATAGGGAAAATACAAGTTACTTTTCAAGCAAGGATATTCAGTATTATCTAAGGAATATTTGAAGAAATTTTAAAATATATATTCCTTTTAATTACAGAATTCTGTATTCCAACCTGTCCATTTGGAAATTTAGTGTTGTATGTAATTGTACTCTTGGTGTGAGGATCCGTGTAATATATATAATTTTAGCCTTGGTGCAAAATATGTAATTTCAGTCTTGGTGTGTGGCGCTATGTAATACATTATGTATTTTATGACTTATCTTGGGATGCAAAGTATTAAAAAATACAAAGTATCAGGATTTGCTGTGATAAGCATACAGATTAGCTGTCCACAGCTGTGATTCATTACTTTAACTGTAGAAATTAAAAGTGGCTGAGGGGAGGGTACTGCAAATGTAAACCACGCTTTTGTGCTGTAAAATTGAAAGGAATGAAAGAACAGAACATAATCCATGGTCTCCTTCACCCACAAAAAAACGTGTAGGGACAACGCCTTACATGCCACAGTTCAGCAATTCTAAACTGGCAACATACTACGTCTTCTACTTCTGTAGTAACTGCAAAGATAGTGGTAAAGGTTTAATGTGGGTTTTAGGAAAAATCAGGGCAAGAGCTTAAAACCTCTTATCTAGTGAGAGTCACTTTATCAGCTATGAAATATTTACACTGCAGATCAAGATCTTGGAGACAATAGCCGCAGCCTTGTTGGCAGGGGAAGCTCACCCAGAGGAAGTCTCTCACCAAGGTAAGCATTATTTACACTGCAAAGTATAGGCAAAGGAAACATTCTGAGATTTGGAAACTTCTTTATCTCTTATCAGTAAAGTGTACATTTGTGAGCTCTAAAAGCATTCTATGGATAAGAAGAATGTCTAGACAATTAAGAAAAATGATTCTAAATTAATTTGAATATTAATTTAAACACACTGTTAGATTTGTAAGTTAAAGGAATACTTTTAGATTTCCAGTCCATTTGAACTCTTGTTTTTTTTGTTTGTATACATAGCTGTTGGTACTATTAGTGCATTGATTCTGGTAATTATTTTTCATCATTAGATAGTCTTAATATCTCTTAAAGCTACAGAATCAGGCTTTCAACTTTAGGTTCTAGTTTTAGCTCTTTTGTGGGCAAAACACTTAACCTTTTTAGTTGCTGGTTCCTAAATTAGTAAATGCAGCTCTTGTGGTAGATCTCCAAAATCTCTTTACAGTTTTAAATTGTTGGAATCAGAGAATAGCAAAGGTATGACATTGTTTTGTGAAATGATCCTAGATAGTATGTGAAAGAATTCAGGTACCATTCATTAATATGTACACTGTGAGATTATGGAACTGTGTATTCCTGTCAGTAGCATACTTTTAACCAGAGTTATACAAAAGAGTTGAATTTCTCTGAGCATGACTGAGATGCTCAAGTCTTCTGTTCTCAGTGGGCAGAATGATGGTGACTGGGAAATAACCGTGTCAGTTTATAGAAGAGAATGGAACTTCAGGTGATGGCTGTTTTTTTATTACCTTTATTCCACTTTTCAACTTCTACAGCGTCTTCCAGTTTGTTTTCTCTCTGTCCTCTAATTTTATAAACTCTGCCTTAAGCATGGCATTAGACTAGGTAAAAGGAGCCCTGGTGGTGCAATTATTAAGTGCTCAGCTGCTAACCAAAAAGTCGGCAGTTCAAACCTACCAGCTCCTTCATGGGAGAAAGATGTGGCAATCTGCTTCCATAAAGATTACAGCCTAGGAAACCTATGGGGCAGTTCTGCTGTGTCCTGTAGGGTCGCTATGAGTTGGAATTGACTCAATGGCACACAGCAAGGGCAACAACAAAGACTAGGTAAGTATGGAGAGAAGAAGGAGGAAAAGGCCTGTTCTAGGGTCTTTTTTTTCAAGTATGGGAAGAATTAAGAATTTTATGTGGTGACAAACAATGAATATCAGTGTTGGCTGTGCTGCTTATATATTTGAGGAGTATCTCTTAAGGAACACCTTACTTATAGAGGTTGGTCTCATAACCTCTTAGTTTTGCGACTTTCTAATGGAACATCTAGTAGTGCCGTTTTCCTATATAATCCCTGGGTAAACTAAAAGTAGTATTGTTTTCTTCTAATTGAACTCTGCAGAATATTGAATATTCCTTCTTTAGTGACATGGAATCTGAAGTATACAATGATAAAATCATCAGACTAGTCTGATTTTATGTTGCGATTACTTCTGTACTATTTTACTCTTTTCAAAGAAGAAAGTTGATTGATTTTGTTCACATGTTTAGTGAAGGAAGCATTTCTGTGCTTCCCTTTTAAACTTAAAACATACACACAAGGCTTCTCAGAAATTATTTAAGATCTTATTTTCTTAGTGTAGTTATTTTAATTAGCTAAATGGACTTAACACAGTGTTGTTGTTGTTGTTGTGTGCCATCAAGTCGATTACAACACATAGCAACCCTATAAGATAGAACTGCCTTATAGGCTTTCCTAGGCTGTAATCTTTAAGGAAGCAGATTGGCACATGTCTCCTGCGGAGTGGCTGGTTGGTTCGAACTGCTGACCTTTCGGTTAGCAGCCGAGCGCTTAACCATTGCACCACCAGGGCTTCTGTTTAACACAATAAATGGTACTAAATTATTTTTGGCATTCATTTCCAACTTTCTGATCACTTTTAAATCAGTTTGAAATGTAATAGCCTAAATGATTCTGGCATAGTGTGCTATTTAAGAGGGATGGCCAACTGTACGTAGTACATGATGTTTACATAGGGAATAAAAAGCCCGTTTGTTTAACTTCTTATTGAAAGAGATTTTTGTAGAGAAAGGCCTATTGAGGCAGTGGCAAGAACATGAGTAGTTGTCAGAAGACCCGAGCAGTAGCCCCAGCTCTGTTCTTTAGCTGCAGTGTCTTTGGACAAGTCCCTAAAGCTCCATCTTTGTGTCCTCATATGGAAATGGAGCCAGTAAACCAGGTCTTCACTTCTTATTAGGTTATTATGAAGATCATATGAGGTAATTATGTGGAAACACTGAAAACTATGAAGCCCTTTACTAACGTAATTATGGAGACTGAAGACCAGAAATGGCAAAATTTACTAATTTAAAACAAAAAATGGATGAGAGAACATTACATGTTCATCTTCATATAAGTAGTATTTGCTTTGGAAGGGTTGATTAAGTGATTGTCATTTGAAGTGGAGATCTAAAATATTTTAGAAATATTTGTATAAATTGTTGAAATAAAAATCGCTTTGGTCATAATGTTCTTTAACGCTGAAAATAAGTATTTTGTGAATTTATAACAAAAGGTTCTTTCCAAACTGTTAACAATTTCTTTTTACTTACATTTGATTGAGATTTTGTTGGTTGTAAATTAAAATGCCTTTCACATGGCTATAATTGTACAGTGTTATTCTGATATTTTAGATATTAAGGCAGAATGGTGGAACTCTTTTCTAAATATTTTAAAGTCTTTCTAACTCCATCCTTCTCCCCTTTTGTCTTAACAGAGCTCTACCATGTTCTTTTACAGCCTATTTCAGAGATTATTTACGGTGTGTTTTATGTTTTCTAGTTGTTTTTATTTGTCTCATATGGCCAGTTATCTCCTTGATTTTTCAGTTTGGGGAGGAAGAAGAATAATTTCTAAATTTTAGGGTAGATTGTGGTTTTATAAGTTTGGAACTTGATACTTCTAGCATAGGCAGCCTTGGGTTAGCAAACTTGTACAGGAAAAAGAGGTCAGTATGAGATAAGAAACTTTAATGCACCCCCTTTAAAAGGATTCCCTCCTCTTTTTAACTTGAGAATTAATGTTTTCAACAGATCTCCTGTAAGCAGCTTACAGATTCGCTATGATCAACCAGGCAACAGCAGTTTGGAAAATCTGCCTCCAGTAGCAGCAAGCATAGAACAGCTTTTGGAGAGGCAGTGGAGTGAAGGACAGCAATTTTTACTAGAGCAGGGTACTCCTAGTGACAGTAAGTATTCTTTTTTGGTTTTAAATAAAGATGGATAGATGGATGGACAGACAGACAGGTGGATGGATGCAGAAGATAATCTTCATTCAGAATAGCAATGAAATTATGATAAAGGTTTTATATAATATGGTGATACAGTATAATTTAGTGCTTTTATAGAACAGTTTTACTGCCTGAGTTTGAATTCTGTTGTTACCTTTTATCAAAAGTATGAGCTTGGGAAAATTTCTTAATCTTTATGTACTTTAGTCTTCCGTGTATAGAATGAGAAGAATAACGTACCTATATAGTAGGGTTGTTACGAGGATTAAATGACAAAAAAATAAAAAAGAACATTTTCTGGCACATAAAAAGTACTTATATGTTAGCTGGTTATCATTATTGTTTATAATTATTATAATATTGGTACTTAGTTTCTCTGTTGTACTTTGTTCTTATCGATTTTTAAGTTTTACTAAAACACATGAGCTGTATCTTCTTTTAGCTTAATTGTTTGAAGAAAACTTGCTCACCTCTGGAGAATATATGTGTGTGCCAGAGAAATAGTATTCTGGCTACCGAGCCCCTTGGTTTTTCAGTTTGGAGGAGGAAGAATAATAATTACTAAATTATGTATATGCACACACACATATATAATTATTAAATGTATTTATTAAATAAAACTATATATGCATACTTAATATCTTTACGATTTTCAGTGTTAGGGCTTGTAAAAATGTCAAAAAGCGTGGTTACTGCAGATGGTGGTTAGCTGAAGAAGTGGCCTTGTGTTAAGGATATATTATTCTTTGAAAAAAAAATAGTTTTCTTCATTTTTGGATATAAAGTTTGGCTACTTTATTTTATTTAAAATTTTTTTGCTTATTGTTAGTGAGCCAAGTGCCGTGAGTTGGTATTTTCATGAATGGTGCCCGGACAAAAAATGCTAATTGTGAGGAAATTCATGCCGGGATAATCCTTTAAACATGATAGCTGGAGGACAGGTTTAGCTTATTCTTACTGCATCTCATTTGGGTACACTGAGGGTTTCTTTGTGGGATCTTGAAGAGGAAGCATAAAAGTTAAATCCTTGGGAATGACCATATGTGTCTGTACCAGTAGAGTTGTGTCTTTTGAAGGCCCTGAGGTCATGTTAAACAAATAAAACTTTTTAATACATAGAATTTTTAAAGTGTCTGTCACCATGGCATAACAGCAGCAAACTGTGTTGTCAGTTGGGAGGCCTGAGTTGTGGAAGGAATTGAGACTATATTCGATATTTGAGATTCGAGGTGATGGGGCGAGACAAAAACCGAGCCTATTTGCAGATGATGTGCCTCTATCTGGGAATAGAGTAGCGGCTGCAGTGCACACACAGTGCTCCCTGCTGGGGGATATGTGGATCAACATGTTTAGCTGCTGAAATTGGAAGCTTCTTACCAGAAGTCTGGTGGTAGAATTAGATTAAAACAAGCAAGAAACAGAAACTTGTGCTTTTATTGTGGCAAAGGATTTGCGTTGGTGAGATGCTTTTCCATTTAAATATGATTTTAATGAAACGTCATGGCAACCACTTTGAATTTTTAATTAGACTTTTAGTTTGATGAATATAAAACATTCTCATCAGTTCTCTTTGAGAATGGAAATTATCTGAATAAGGTGGGTTTTTTTTTTTTTTTTTTTTGGTATGTGGCATCAAAGTTTCCAGGAGAAACATCTAGAAATGCTCTCTCGTTAGGCTTATATATGTATAAATACACTCTAATATATTACATATGCATATAAATTGAGGAATAAAACCTAATCACTTAGAAATATTTTACAGAATTTCTACGTTTCTATTTTATTTGTAAAATTATTGACAGTTATGTCATTAAAATGCTTCGTCCTGTGTGTGGACTTGTCTTTATTAAAAACATCCAAATGTTTGCTAGTTTTAGGAATGCTGAAGTCATTACACCAACTTCAAGTTGAGAATCGAAGATTAGAGGAACAGATTAAAAACTTGACTGCCAAAAAAGAACGCCTTCAGTTATTGAATGCACAGCTTTCAGTGCCTTTTCCAACAATAACAACAAATCCTAGTCCATCTCATCAAATACATGCATTTTCAACACAGACTGGTAAGTTTGAAAATATTTGTTATGTATTTAAGGAAAACAGAATGGACTTTTAATGTTTTTTTCATAAGTGAGAAATAACTGGCCCGCAGTTAACGTGAATATGTAGAAAGGTCATTTTAAAAGGGCATGAAGAATACTGTTAAGTGATCGACTTGAATATGCTCTAACTTCTTTAGTATATAATTTAATGATAACATTTATTAAAATGTTTAAATGTTTCTTTATTGAATATCAATAGAGTCATAGATTTTTCTATTTAAACTGGTTTTAGGAATAGCAAGACTTAATATTTTAAGTGTTTTTAATAGGCTTCAGCATAAACTCTTAAAAAAACCTTTAGTCTTACACATAATGTAATTTAATAAGGTAAACAAGTTTTTTTTTTGTCTTTTATTATTCTAGCTCCTACTACGGATTCCTTAAACAGCAGTAAGAGCCCTCATCTAGGAAACAGCTATTTACCTGATAATTCACTTCCTGTGTTAAATCAGGTAATTTTGCTATCGTTATTTTCATTTGTGTGTTTTACCTGTGAACAATAGTATATTACATAAATGGCTTAAAATTATTAAACACTTTTGCTGTGTTCTTTACAGGTTAAGTTTCTGTTTTCTCTTACTTTAGGACTTAACCTCCAGTGGACAAAGCACCAGCAGTTCATCAGCTCTTTCTACTCCACCTCCTGCTGGGCAGAGTCCAGCTCAACAAGGCTCAGGAGTTAGTGGAGTTCAACAGGTCAATGGTGTGCCAGTGGGGGCACTAGCTAGTGGAATGCAGACTGTAACATCCACCATTCCTGCAGTGCCTGGAGTGGGTGGAATAATTGGAGCTTTGCCAGGTAACCAACTGGCAATCAATGGCATTGTAGGAGCTTTAAATGGGGTTATTCAGACCCCTGTCACAATATCCCAGAACCCTGCCCCCCTCACCCACACGACTGTACCACCTAATGCAACACATCCAATGCCAGCTTCACTGACAAACAGGTAAGAAACTTCTTAAATATATTTTGGTTGTTTTAATGTAGCATAGTACCAGTGTTGTTAATGGTTTAGTAAGCTTCTGCTTTTCCTTTTTTCATATTGGGATTTCTCGTGTGTTCCTTGTGGATGTACTCTAAGGGGGGAAAAAAACTAAGCATATTATGCGCAGAGCCATTTATTTTTGAAACTTAAGTAATTCTGATTCAAACAAAATTAAATCAATTTTAGTAAAATAAAGTATTAAACAATTTCTGTGCTGAAAATTTTAGTCTTGGTCTGTGATGTGTATTTTAAAATGTTACTTTTTCTTATTCCCTTGTATATTGCATTCATGTATCATAAATTCTGAAGAAAGGTAATATTGTAATGGTTATCACAACTGAATATTGGTTTCTTAAAATTCAGCTGTGTACTTTGATCATAACTTTATAATCAAAGATTTTTGATATAGGATAAAGGTCAGATATTTATCTAGAATTTTCAGGCAGAGAGACTTATTTCATTGTACTGGAATTTCATTTGAATGTTTGTTCAAAATAAGGGGAACTAATGCCATGTTGTTTATTAAACATACTTTTGGGGAATAAATAATTTTAAATAGATTTGCAGTGGATATTAACAGCTATTTCTTGGGGCTTTTTATTGGTGCTTAATTTTACTGACTATTGGGACTATTAAAAAAGGTTAGGTCACATCAGTTGGTAGTATATTTGGATTCTTTTTTTGTTTTTAAATACATGCTACTTAGTATGAGTTACTTAAATTATCCTTGAATTATTAAAAATAAATTATTATTATACGTACTTTAAAAAAAAAACATGTAAATTTCTATTCCATAAAATGAGTTGGTGTCTATTTGGTTTTAATAAAAAGAAAATCAAAACATTTCTTGCCAATGAGAATTCTTACTTAGCTGAGTGTTTAGTGGGGAGAGAGATAAGCAATAATTTGTACATTATCAATTTCAAAAATGTTATAATTAAAAGTTTGACTTGTTAATTTATTTAACATCAAATTGAGAAGTTTAATTTTACATTTAAAAAAATACCTTAAAGGTATATATTAGAAAGTAAGAATTTTAATCATTTTTCAGTGCCTCAGGACTAGGATTACTTTCTGACCAGCAAAGACAAATACTTCTTCATCAACAGCAATTTCACCAGCTGTTAAATTCTCAACAGCTCACACCAGTAAGTTCTTTCTTTTGATAATATTTCATTTTTATTAGGAGGAAGTGATCTAAGTTACAGTAGTCAATATGGGTATAGATTATGCCTTTGTGAAATAACATTATTGAGTGCATAATCCAATAATAGTTTTTCATGCCATTTGAAATAGTCTGTAATACCTGTAGTGGCATAACATTCACTTATTCACTCAGAAATATTGGAACACATACCACAGTACTGTTGTAAGCTCTGGTGATACAGTCGTAAATAAGACATAAGTCTGTATTTTCATAGAGCAGCATTCTGGTGGGAAAGACGGACAATAAATATATACATTTTGGTAGGGATAAATACTGAGAAGAAAAATAAAGCAGGATGGAGAGATGAACAGTGGCGTGTAGGCCATTTTAGATAGGGTGGCCCAATGTCTGTGAGGAGGTGACTTTTGAGTATAGACCTGAATAAAAGTTGAAGGAGCATGCCTTTTTGACTTTGGGCAGGGGGAAGATAGAGAGCATTTCAGGCAGAAGGGAATGACAGCTGTATAAGACCTGAGCTGAGTGAAGGGGAGCCTAGAGCAGGAAAGCTGTTCATAATTTTTAAAAAATCTTTTTATTGAAATTTTCAAGCATACCAAAAGCTAGTGAGCATAGTATACTGAAGCCCTGTGCACTTAGCATTCTATACCTAGCTTTAATAATTATTCCTGTTTTGTTAATCTTATTTCATATATCCTTACTTTTTCTCCAAGATGATTATTATTATTTTTAATTGTACTTTAGATGAAGGTTTACAGAACAAACTAGCTGCTCATTAAACAGTTAGTACACATACTGTTTTATGACATTGGTTAACAACCCCACAGCATGTCAACACTCTCCCTTCTCGACCTCCCCAAGATTATTTTGAAGAATTAATTGGCAGGTTTTGAACAGAATAGTGACATAATAATGATTTACGTATCTAATAGATTAGCTGCTGTAATAGTCTACATGTGTTGAGAGGGAAGTGACGCCAAAAGTAGAAACAAGTAGGTTATTGGAATAGTCCAGATAGGAGATGTTGGTGTCTTAAAATCACATGGTATATAGTGGTGAAAAACTATTTGAAATTGAGGTCTGTTCTGAAGATAGAACCAACAAGACTTAGTCGTTAGACATATGAGAAAAAAGAATCTTGAATAATTGGATACTGCTTTTTACTGCGATTTAGAATAGGTCAGACAACAGGTTTTGAAGAGAAAATGAGATCTGTTGTAGACATACTAAGTCTGAGATGTCTGTTCAGATGTTCAAGTGAAATCTATAGTAGGCAGTTGTGTAATAGGAGTCCGGAGTCCAAGAGATAGGATTCAGTTGGAGATAAAAATCTGCTGCATATCTGATGTTTAGAGCTATGAGATTAGATGAGATCACCTAGAGGATGAGGTCTGAGAACCGATCTCTGGTCACTTTGGGAGAGGAGAATAATCTAGTAAAGGATACCAAGAAGAAGCGTTCAGCGAGTTAAGAGAACTGAGAGTGATGTCTTAGGAGCCAAGAGAAGAAAATGTTTCAAGAAAAGAAGAGGTCAGCTGTGTTAAATACTTCTGGTAGGTTAAGTAAGAATTGACCATTGGGTTTGGCCATCTGGAGGTCTTTGACAAAGGCAGTTTTGGTAGGATAAAAGCCTTATTAAATGACTTAACAGAAACTGGGAAGAGTTGCCAGTTTCCCTGGAAATGTATATAATGTGGATATATGGCTAGTGAATTTCATGACTGCCCCCTTTTAGGTGTGGAGTCATCGACATTATAGCCACTGTAAATAAGGTTGTCTGCATCCCGAAAGTGCCATGGACTAGAATCTAGTTAGAAGCCTGCCTGAAATCACTAGCCTCAGGCAGTAACCTCAGCTAACTGGATGTCATTGCCTCCCAAGGGAGTGGAATCACTTAACCCCAGGAAGATTGATAGGTAGAAAAATGCTTAAGTGAATCAAAGCTGTATTTTAATATTTTTGCATTAAGGAATCTGTAAAAATTTGATATTCTATGTACTTGGCAAAGTTCAAGGGATTTGGACCTTCGGAACAACAACTTCGTAACTCCAATTTAAAATATGTATTTGAATAATTGATTCAAGACCTGTGATCTTTACATTGTATGGGGTTGGAATATTTAGAAAACTTTATAGTCATTTTTTAAGTTTAATTTCATAGATTTATAAAAAAAATTGAGGACTTGAGAAGGTTTTGTTTGTTTAAAGTCATGAAATTGAAGTATTTAAGACATAAAATATATTACATTTATTGAAAATGGGAGGAGGGAAGGTGAAGATGGAGGATGGGCAACTCTCTCAGAGATTTTTGCTGTAAAAAGCAGAGAAATGAGCAGATAAAGGATGACATGGTATAAGAGGCTAGTTTTTATTCATTTTTAATAAGACAGCCTTATATCTATGTTGATGGGAAAATTTCTGGTGCAGGAAAAAGGAGGAATAGCAAAACAGGAAAGTTATAAAGAAGGGAGAAGAGATGGGAACAGCTTTCCATTGTAATAAGAGGCAGGCAGAGCAGATATAGGTGGATTTTATGATAGGAGATTGTGGAAATTCTCTTCTAATGTTTCTAATTTTCTTAATTAGAAGTAAAATCATCAGCAGAGTGATTTAGTTAGAGATGTTGGTAGTTAGAAGAGAGAATGTGAAATAGATAATCTTGGAGAATGCGAGAAAGAATTGAGTGAGGAAAATGTGGATGTGTGTGGTTCCAGTGCCAAGGCAGGAGTTGCCTTGTGGTCATAAATTTAAAGTGAGACCAGGTCACCATAGTTGTATGATTTTTCTCCAGCCCCATTTCCCTAGCACACTTCACTGGATTTGAACTGAAGTTGAAAGAGCTTCAGCCTTTGTTTACACTTTTTTCCAAAACATACTTGTCTACTTTGTTGTTTTAGTCAAAAATATATTGAAAATATTTGTTTTGATTCTGGATCATCATATTTGCTATCACTTTTCTTACAGTGGTATAAAGATAGATTGATTGTATATGAATTCTTAAATGCTTACACTAAAATGTGATTTTGTTATCTTCTTACCTCATCTTAATGTGAAATATTACCCAACCCCATTGCTTTGGTGTCAATTCCAACTCATAGCAACCCTGTAGGACAGACTAGAACTGCCCCATAGGGTTTCCAAGGCTATAATCTTCACGGAAGCAGACTGCCCCATCTTTCCTCCTGTGGAGCGACTAGTGGATTCAAACCACTGACCTTTTAGTTAGCAGCTGAATGCTTAACCACTGTGTCACCAGAGCTCCCTGTCTGAAATAGTAAACTCAGTTTATTTCAGGTTCTTCCTGTTATTCCAGATTTTACTCTAATAATAGCACGTGTAGATGTCTCATTTCTAGAACATAGTTGATTAAGAATTTTCAGCGTAAAGTGTTGCTTAGAGACCATAGGTTGTTGGGTGAAGTTTGTTCATTTACAGGCAGAACTTTACATAGGGAAAAATTTTGTTATTATATTATCATCTCCCTTCTTAAGAAAAACTCGACCCTACTTCCTCCAACTACTACCCTATTGCTATCTCTTCTCAACTAAATCCAATGATCAGTTCTGTTTCTTTATGTTATTTGACCTGTCAACAGCATTTGACATAGTCGATCACTCCCTTCTTGAAACACTTTCTTTCTGTACATTCCAGAATACCACGTTCTCTTGGTTTTCCTCATACCTAATTGTTGTTCCCTTTTAGTCTCTTTTTCTGGTTCCTCCTCTTCTCTTTTTTCGAGTGCCTTCCAACCGGAGGTGCTCATCTTCCAGCACTGTATCAGACAGTTTTCCACTGCTATTCATGAGGTTTTCACTGGCCAGTTTTTCTGGAAGTAGACTGCCAGGTAGAGGGTCAGCAAAAAAGAAGATGACCCTTGATGAGATGGATTGACACAGGGGCTGCAACAGTGGGCTCAAACATAGCAACGATTGTGAGCCTGGTACAGGACCAGGCAGTGTTTCGTTCTCTTGTACAGAGGGTTGCTATGAGTCGGAACCAACCTGAAAGCATCTAACAACAACCTCTTCTCTTTAGCCTCTTAACTTTAGAGTACTGTAGAATTCAGTGATCTCTCTAGTCTCATGGCTTTAAATACAATCTATATGGTGATATTTACATCTCCAGATATACATGCTCAGCCTTTTCTTCTCTCTTGAACTTCAAATTCCTGTCTCCAGCTGCCTACTTAATATTGGATATTTAAGAGATATTTCAAACATAACGTGTCCAAAACTGAACTGCTGCTACTCCTCCACAAACCTGGTCCACCCATAGTTTTCCTCACCTGAGTTAATGGGAACTCCATCCTTGCAGCTGCTCAAGCCAGAAACCTTGCAGTCGTCCTTCATTCCTCTGCTTAAAAATTTCCACTAGCTTCCTATTTTACTTTGAGTAAAGCCAAGAAGCCCTGGTGGCACAATGGTTAAGTGCTCAGCTGCTAACCAAAAGGTTGGTGGTTCAAACTTACCCATTGGCTCCACAAGATAAAGGTCTGGTGATGTGCTTCTGTAAAGATTACAACCCAGAAAAACCTATGGGGCAGTTCTACTTTGTCACATGGGGTCACTAGGAGTTGAAATCAACTGAACAGCACTCAACAACACCAACAAAGCCATAGTATTCATGGCTTACTACTGTGAGCGCCACATTCTTCTCTGACCTCCTACTTGCTCACTTCACTCCAGCACCACTGGTCTCCTTGCTCTTCCTAGCACTTTGCCTTTGAGCTGGCTGTTCCATCTGCCTAAAAATACACCCCACCCCCAGCTCATTCCCTCATCTCCTGTAAATGTGTATACCTTCTCAGTGAGAATTACCTTGACCAATCTATTTAAAATTATATCTGACTACTCCACCCCTGCCATAGTCTCTCACACACTTCTGTTTCCCCTTACACTTAGCATTTATCACCTTCTAACATTTTTTTTTCCTCCCCAGTGATGTATTTCAAGCACCTAGAACAGTGCCTGGCACATAGTATGCTCTCAGGAAATGTATGTTGAATGAAGTAAATGCTTGTTTTAAAGAATAGTCTCATACCTGCAACAAGAAAGCACCCTTAATATTAGGCATGAAAGAAAACTTTAAAGTACTTTAAGTCTGAACAGAATTATGGAAAGGAGGATTTGACCCACATGGTGCATTCTAAGATCAAATACAGATAACTTGTGATTTAATCGAAGTTCGGTGCTCTCCTCGATTATTGTGGATAACCTAATTTAAATATAGGTCTCCTGTGTTTATTTGGAAGGAGACCTGGTGGTGCAGTGGTTAAGTGCTCTGCCTCTAACCAGAAGGTTGGTGGTTTGAACCCACCAGCCACTCCGTGGAAGAAAGATGTGGCAGTCTGTTTCCGTAAAGATTACAGCCTTGGAAACCCTATGGGGGCAGTTCTGCTCTGTCCTATGGGTTTGCTGTGAGTTGGAATTGACTTGATGGCAATGGGTTTTTTAAATGTTTGACCTGTTTTAAAAATAATGATACTGATGATATTGATGTTTTGTAGTAGGTGGTTGTTATCTAGTACAACATAGTTTTCCAGATACCTGTTTTCTTTCTCAGCATGTGTATGACTAATATTTAAATATATAACATTAAAGCAAAGAATGAAAGAAGAAAGGCAGGCCTGATTCTGTGAATGGGAACTCATTTTTTCCCCACACGTTTATTTCTCAGGAACAGCATCAGGCCCTCCTGTATCAGTTAATGCAGCAGCATCACCACCAGCAGCACCACCAGCCTGAACTGCAGCAGATACAGATCCCCGGCCCAGCGCAAATACCAATAAACAACCTACTTGCAGGTACTCAGGCACCACCACTTCACACAGCTACCACCAATCCATTTCTCACAATCCATGGTGATAATACAAGTCAGAAAGTAACAGTAAGTATATTTTCTTTTTTGTATCTAATGAAATAATAAAAAGGATTTTAATGATTAATCAGAGATGATCATCTCTCTAGCCTTTTTTTCTTTTTTTAAGTAAGTATATTATTTTCCTGATAATTTCCTTTTAAAACTAGTTGTTTAAGCAGCTGGATATTATAAACACAAAGGACCTAAGACAATTTATACATCTTACATCAGTTTGAATTTGCACATTTGAAGGCTGTTTTATAATTCAGCAATTTTCAAAATAAAAATATGTTTTAGTTGGCAGGTTGTATGGGACAGTCCAACCAAAAGACAATAATTGGTGCTTTTTGAAAAGCTTTGTTTAATTATAGAACCAGTCTGTATAATATAGGAATATTGTTATTATTTTGCTCTAAAGTACTTTATAAAACTTAATTATATTTATAATACAGTTATTATTTAAATTTTAAGGCACTCCAATTATTCTACCAGATTACTCTTTTAAAGAAAATGTAATCTTATTTGTACTGAAAGTTAAAATCTAAATTCTTTATTTTATCAATTTCATGTAATTGGTAGCATCTTACACTTTCAGTGTAAAAGTTAATATAAATCAAAATTGGGTGCAGGAATAGTATAGTATACATATAGTAACACACATTTTAAGGCTGTTTCTTTCTGTTAATTCTCCCATTCAATTAGGTCTGCTTTACTGGAGTATATAGATGTTTCCCTTAAATTCCAGTTCAGGGCAGAACCCTGTTAGGGGAAGGATATTGGGATATAGAATGGATTGGACATCAGGAAAAGGAAGAGGGAAAGAATGAGGTGGGAGACTTGGCAAATAAAAGTGTTAAGAGTCACAGTGTTTGCTGTTTCCCACGACTTTGAAAGCTTTCTGTTTAGCATACTTTTAGTCTTTAGAAACTTTAGTTTGTACTTGGTAGCGAGACTTGATTCAAGATACAGGATTATTGTTGATCATTAACTCTTTAATGCTTTTTTGTTTGCCCCATTGTTTCTCTGACTCACTATTGTGAATACTGTCATTATCACAAACCTAGTTACCTTTCCAGTGTTTTGCTGACATGGGAAATTCCAGTGATTCTGTATTAATTTAGAAAAATTTTTGTACTGCTTTTCCTTAGTTTCTCAAGTTTTTTCTTGTATTATAAAGTGAATTAATTATAAACTAACTTTTCCTGATTTATGCAATAGGAAATGTATTTTTAATTAAAAAACCACAATAATATATAAAAATAGAGTGTTAATTAGCTGATGTAGGAAAAGCAGGACCGGGAAATAATATTTACCGAGCACCCTGCCACGGGCCAAACATCTTTGCTACATACAACCAGTTACCAGTAGCCATCGAGTCATCCCGACTCATGGCAACCCTATGTGTGCGGAGTAGAAGTACACTCCATAGGGTTTTCAAGGCTGTGACCTTTCAGAAGCCGATCTCCAGGTGTTTTTTCCAAGGCCTCTCTTGGTGGGTTTGAACTGTCAGCCTTTTGGTTAGTAGATGACTGCTTAACTGTTTGCGCCACCCAGAGCTCCTTTTTAGATACAGTGGCATACATTTCAATAGCAAAGATTCTAGTCTTTGAAATAATAGGTTGTATCTTCATTTTTTTTTAAATAGATTGTTAAATGGAGACTCAAAGAGGTTAAAATTCAAAGGACAGTTATAAATAGTAAAGAAGGGATCAGAATTCATGACTTCTTAGCGCATAGAAAATTCATTTTCCACAATACCATGTTACTGCTTCCCTGCAAAAGTCAATTTTGGAGAATGATTTCTACTCATTCCTTATGAATTCAGTTGGGCATACTACCTCTTATGTCTGTATGCTGTTGAATTTAGTGTTTTTAAAGCATTTACCAGTAAATTCATGTCTTTATATTATGCTGAAAAGTAGCCATGTTGACTTGCAGAACAAAAAGGAGTTACCATATATACCTCCTTTTATCTTGGTTACAATTTCAGTTAAGAGGATGTAATCTCTAGTGTTGGCCAGAAATTGATTTAGCTTATGCATCTGATTTTTTGGGTTTTTTTGTTTGTTTGTTTGTTTTAACCACAGAGACTTAGTGATAAAACTGGGCCTGTAGCTCCAGAGAAAAGTTGACACTCAAGAAACATCTAGAAATTGCTTATCCTGCTGTTCTAGCACTTCGTCTGGCTGCTGCTGCAGTCCTCTTTCTACACCTGTGAAGAAATGCAACAAGAAACTAACTGCACAACAAAGGTTAATTGCCAGAAGGACATTCTTGTAAGCTTTGACTAATTTTCTTGTTGCTTTGTTGCACTGAGGTAAAACTCCATATCCTCCCACTCCTCAGATTTTTTTTAACCTTTGAAAGAAAATTCAATAACTAATTTTTGTCAATGAAACAATTTACATGCAATGATTTTATCAACCTGAGAGAAATAGTTGATGCACAACTAATTTTGTTATAAATTGGAGATACGAATAGCAAACTGAAGACTTACTCCATTTACAAACTACTTGATTTTACTGTACAAATTGGAAAATGAAATATAATCTTTTGTTTGGGTTATTGTATGCTTTGTGAGTTAGGTTGTAAAACAAATTTTAAGGAACTGTCTAACTTTTACTGAAGTTTTACTGATTAAATATTTCAAATAAATAGGTTATCAACTGGGACTTGGCAATCTTTGTTCTAAAAATTTCTTTTCTAATGGGATTTGACCAATTCTTGGTAATCAAGTTAGGATGGTAATGTCTGCTTCTGCTAAAGGTAATTTTCTATTGCTAAATGCTTTTTCTTTTGTCTTAAGACCTACTCATTTTTTTAAAGAAACCTTGAGTTAAGTGAGTTCTAAGGCTGCTGGGGGAACCAGATCAATTGAAAGTGAAAGACTTCTTTCATAAAAAGGGGCCACTCTGAAAACTGCTAGTAGGGTTTGGCCTTAATCAAGTGCCTGTTAGTACCTCCATTGTGTTGAAATGGCTCTAGACAACTGAGCTTGCACTACAGTCAGTCCTTGTAAGTAGTAGGAATATTCAGTGTTACACCAGCAGCCTTCCCCATTGTTCTGCCTTTATGAAAAACTTTCTATGCCACTGTAGATAGCTCAGGCAAAACTATTACCTGGGTGTTTATCCACTAATGAGTCACAAGAAAAATGAGTGGATTTGGTAAGAATATGTACAATTTTCATTTAAAGATCTCCCTATTACTGCCAGTGATTAAAAAGCAAACAATAACAAAATACTACCACTACCACAGTTATTAAAACAGGTAAAACCTGTATTACAGCCTTTCTGCTTTTGGTAGCCAAGCTCCTGGTGTGATAGTCTGGCAGAGTATAAATTATACAATTGGAGATGTAATCATTGAACTGTTCTTAAGTGTGTGAATTATTAGTGGAAAAGACCCAGCTGTAATTAGACCTCCACTGTGTACTTAGCTGGAAGAACATGTTAATTCTGCAATATGTCTCTTGGTTAAACATTGCACAGTTCTTACCTCATTTCTGTAAATAAAGTTTTGTGAATCTGTTTTGTATTGTGAAAAATTCATAAGATAACATTGATATTTTGATTTGTAATATTTCTAATTGGTAGATTTAATTGAAAGTAAAATTAATTTATTTTTATATGTTCCGGGGAATTTTAAAGTCAAATTTTTTGTAGATAATTAAAATAAATCGGTGTGGTTTATTTTACAACCCACTGGTTGTTGTTCTGTAACAATTTGTATAAATGGTAAATTTTGAATGTGTTGTTATTTTACCTAGATGTAAAATTCCACATGTATTAAAGAGATTGTACAAAGTTTTGTTAATAAAATTTAATAATGTTTATAACTCTTTGCCATTCTTGTTTGGAGAGGATGAAGCTCCAGGAGACCATTGGAGCCTTGCCTCTGTAGTTTGTTCCAGTAGTCTTTGTGCTTTGTGTTTTGGATCATCAGGGTAATATCAGTTTGGAGTTAATGAAACTTTCCTCATGACTAGGCTCTGTACAGTGTACAAAGCAACAATGCATAGCAGTAGACCTTGTGTTCAAAGATCTTAATGACTAGATGTGAAGAAGAGCAGACTCTGAGAATTGCTGTGATGCAGAGAAGAGGGAAGTAATCACAGTGGCAGTAAAAGGAAAAGAAATTCCAGATGAGACAGTTAATTATAGCACATTAATAAAGTAGTATTCATACTTGATAAAGATTAAATTCCTCTTATTAGCTTTAACCAGAGGCATTAAGTGAAAGAAAAATCCAAATCTGTTGAGTGTTTTTTAGGTCTTGGTATGCATCCGAATCACCTGTGGTGTTTTTCAAAAGTATAAATGCTCAGACTTTATCCCAGACTCAATTGAATGAGAATATACTGGTCTATATAATTTGCTCCTAGTAATTAAGAGTTAGGGAGCCCTGGTGGCACAGTGGGTAAGTGCTCAGCTACTAACTGAAAGGTTGGAGGTTCAAACCCACCAGCTGCTCCGTGGGAGAAAGATGTGGCAGTCTGTTTCCGTAGAGATCATAGCCTGGGAAACCCTATGGGGCAGTTTAACTCTGTCCTATAAGGTTGCTATGAGTTGGAATCGACTCGACAGCAATGGGTTTGTTTTTTTTTTCATATGGTCGCTCTGAGTTGCAGTTGACTCAACAGCAACTGATAATTAAGAGCTGAATTAACAAGGAAAAGTAGTTCTAAGCTTTCAACTTTATTAAGGAGTGAATTTTGATTCCTAGAAAGACTTTCTATTTTATACACAAATGAAGAATGATTCTGGAAAGGGGGTTCTCCCTCTAAGGCTAGGAACATCGTTCCTCTAAAATGACATCCATTAACTCCCTCCTCTATTTTCAGTCTCTTCAGGTAATCTAAACAAAATATTATTTGCTTATGCAGTTTTTATTTATTAAAAATATGTCATTTATCTTGGCTGCTTATCTGCATTACTAGCTATGTGTAATTACACCTGCTTTCGTAGCTTTCTGACTTACTTGAGGCCCCATATTATTTCAGATACTCAATGTGAAATAGACCTAGTTTTCCTGGGTTGCTGGTCTGTGGTTCCCCTGACCGTTGTTGCTGATTCCTGGGTGCCTTTTGGGAAGTTGGTGAGGAGCTGCTGCTTGCTGACTGGCATTGATACTTTGACAAGAGTGCTCTGCATGTGGAAATGTTTAGATAGACTAGTTCCTGTCTGGACAAGTTAAGAAAAGGGAGGAACCATGGTGGAACTTGGAATTAAATGGGTTTGAAGGATTCAGGTGAGATTATGTGAAGAGACTAAGGAAGAAAGGCAAGTTTGGGCACCTTGGGGATAGTAACGGAGTAGGATGGGTCAGAAAAAACAGGATTTTCAACCGAGTGGAGGCATTTAGCAGAAGGCAGTTAACATATTATGTCCCTGAGTCTGGGATAGACAATTGGTATGCACTGTCTTGTTGCTCATCTCTGTGGGAGATACCTAAAACCTCTAGTTTATTGGTGAGGGGACCCACAGAGAGGCAGTTTCCAAGCCTGTGCTCTGGCTACAGGAGATCAGGGAAGCACCATAGTGCCTTGGGCAGAGTAGGTAATGATTCTGCTAGTATTTTAGGGCCAGGGCTCTAGAACCAGAAAGTTGGTCCTGAGCAGATTGGTAGAGGGGCAGTTGAAATCACTGGTGTGGGAGAAAGGTAAGTGAGGAGAAGACTGCAAACAGGGCAGGTAGGAGAGGAAGCTCTGCAAAAGGGTCTGAAGAGGAGCCAGGAGAACTCTATGTTAATTCATTTACATCCCACTTCACTCCAAAAAGAATTTGAAGCTGCAAAAAGTTGAAAGAAGACACACACTGGTCCTCAGGAGTAAAGAGGTCCTGTAAGATCAAACCTGAAAATGCCACTGGGATCCTGCAGTTAGAAAAGCCTCTGGGACATGAACAGGAGCAGCTCCAGGGGTGCAGGGAGGGCAGAGGTCGGCTGACAAGGGACTAAAGAATCAGTGCAAAGGAACCAGGGGGGACAGAATGTGACCGGTGGTTTCCAGTTTATGCCCTTAAATACTTGATTGTACAATGAAGTTATATGAAGCCAGTAATAAAAGAAGATACTCATGGTTTGCAGCAGTAAACTCACAACATTCTGATTTTTGTTCAGTGCCTCCAAAGTCTGAAATTCACTTTTTTGCTGATTGAGTTTATTTAGTTTCCCTCAAATTCTGATTGATGCATCTGGTGTTTTTCATTTGGCTCACTTAACAAGCAAATGGCTTCATTAGGAAGTTTACATTTTTGGCACCACTGCTGATCCTTCGCAACAGTCTTTCTGGTTCTCCTGGTCTCCTCCCAGAGCAAGCACAGACAGGTGTGTTCTGTCGCTGAACTGTTCGCATACATAGGATTCTTTGAACAAAATAAAGTGCGCATTTTCTTTGCAAATTCTTGGTCTAATGCAGTGGTTCTCATTCTTGGATCCATTAGATCCTGGAGATTAAAATCCTGTTGTTTGGTGCCATTGAGTTGGTTCTGACTCATATCGACCCTGTGTGTAACAGAATGAAACACTGTCCAGTCTTGCACCATCCTCACAATCCTTGTTATGCTTGAGCCCATTGTTGCAGCCACTGTGTCATTCTATCTCATTGAGGGTCTTCCTCTTTCTCGCTGACCCTTTACTTTACCAAGCATGATGTCCTTCTCCAGGGACTGATTCCTCCTGATAACATGTCCAAAGTATGTGAGACAAAGTCTCGCCATCCTTGCTTCAAAGGGGCATTCTGGCTGTACGTTTTCCAAGACAGATTTGTTCATTATTTTGGCAGTCCATGGTATATTCAGTATTCTTTGCCAACACCGTAATTCAAAGGTGTCAGTTCTTTTTTAGTCTTCCTTATTCATTGTGCAGCTTTTGCATACATATGAGGCAATTGAAAACACTACAGCTTCGGTCAGGTGCACCTTAGTCCTTTGGTGCTTTTTAACATTAAAAAAAAAAAGTAACATCTTCGTTTTTAACACTTTAAGGCTATTTATACCCAGCATCAATTAGATCAGAATCCCTGGGACATGTGTATGTCCTCTTCTATTTTTAAAAGACAGACTATTTTTTAGAGTAGTTTTAATTTGCAGAAAAATTGTGCAGGAAGAGCAGACTTTACATATACCCTCCTCCCCCTGCATGCTGTTTCTCCTGTTACTAACATCTTGCATTCACATTCCTATGGGACATTTCTTACAACTGATGAACTGATATTGATACATTATTAACTAAAGTCCATAGTTTACATTAGGGTTCACTCTTTTTGTTCTACAGTCCTATGGGTTTTGACAAATTTGTCCACCATTACAATATCATACAGAATAGTTTCACTGCCCTAAAAATGCCCCGTGTTCCACCTATTCATCCCTTCTCCCTCTCTTGAGCCCCTGGCAACCACTGATCTTTTCACTCTCTCTATAATTTTACCTTTTCCAGAATGTCATATAGTTGAACTGTACACTATGTTGTTGTTAGGTGCCATCAAGTCCGTTCCGAATCACGGCAACCATATAAAACACCACCCGGTCCTGCACCATCCTCACAATCATTGCTATGTTTGAACTCATTGTTGCAGCCACTGTGGCAATCCATCTCACTGAGGGTTTCCTCTTTTTCACTGACCCTCTAGTTTACCAAGCATGATGTCCTTCTCCAGGGACTGGTCCCTTCTGATAACACATCCAAAGTAAGTGAGACCAAGTCTCGCCATCCTCGCTTCCAAGGAGCAGTTCAGCTGTGTTTCTTCCAAGACAGACTTGTTCATTCTTCTTGTGGTCCATGGTATATTCAAGCCATATGCTTTGCCAGTGTATGTCTTCTACATACACAATGTAGCTATATGCATTTAAGGTTCCTCCATGTCTTCTTTGTGGCTTGAGAGCTCATTTCTTTTTATTGCAGAGTAATACTCCATTGTTACCAATGTACTACAGTTTATCTATTTACCTATTGAAGGACATGTTGGTTGCTTGCAATTTTTGGTAATTATGAATGAAGCTACTATAAATATTCATGTGAAGGTTTTTATGTGGTCATAGTTTTCATCTCGTTTGGGCAAATATGTAGGATTGCCATTGCTGGATGGAATGGTAAGCCTGTGTTTAGCTTTGTAAGAAACTGCAAGACTGTCTTCCAAAGTGGCTGAACTATTTTTGCATCCTCATCAGCAATGAATGAAAGTTCCTTTTGCTCCACATCCTCACCAATATTTGGTGTTGTCTGTGTTTTGTATTTTAGCCATTCTAATAAGTGAGTCATGGTACCTTGTTTTGATTTTTTAGTTCTCTAATGACGTGATGTTGAGCCTGGTTAAGAGCTCGGCTGCTAACCAGAAGGTCTGCTGTTGGAATCCACCAGCCGCTCCTTTGGAAACCCTTTGGGGCAGTTCTACTCTATAGGGTCACTATGAGTCACAATCAACTCGATGGCAACAGGTTTAATGACACATGATGTTGATGCTCTTCAGTGTCTAGTGTTGGGTGGGAAGGGGTGCCTTTGCACTCCCTCTCTGAGCCCTGACCTCTCCGACTTTCAAAATGGGGTGGGGGTGGTAACAACACCACAAACAGTTTTCCCAGCTTTCTTATAGACATTGCTGTTTCAGACACTAGTAGTTTCTTTTTGCCTGAGAAGCAGCTTGCTTAAGTGGTTTCTCTTTTTCTGTTTTTCACAGAACCATTTCTTCTTTTTTCTTCCAGACCAGAGGAAAATAATTGTAGCCTCTTAGGTTTAAAAATAATAAGTTTAAAAAAAAACAAAAAACACATTTCCATTGAGTCGATCCCAACTCATAGCAACCCTATGGGACATAGAATTGCCCCATAGGGTTTCCAAAGCTGTAACTCTTTCCGGAAGCAGACTGCCACATCTTTCTCCCCGTGGAGCAGCTGGTGGATTCCAACTGCCAGCCTTTCAGTTAGCAGACGAGTGTTTAACCCCGGTACCACCACAAACTGTAATTCAGCTCCCCAGAGAATAAAGTCCAAGACTGAAGGCCAAGTAATTTATTCAGATAGGAGACTGGAATTATTGCCAAAACAAAGAGTGGAGTTGGATTCCGGTCCAACCACATGGGGCTCCTGAGCTACAGGTGAGGTAGAGATGGGCTTGTTCCAGTAGGGAGAAAAACTGCGCCACACTTCTACACAGGACTGAAAAAGAACAGCAATTCCCAGTGTTTAGACTTCGGACCAGTGCCTCCACCAACCACCTTTACAGTTTGCAGAGGGCTCTGCTGTGCTGCTTTTGATCCCTGCAAACAACCCGGTAGAGGCTGTGGAAGCTGCCGGACAGGAGCAGTACCCGTGGGGCAGTGGGACTCGGAGCTGATTGCTTCGCTCCCTTGGGCTTGGCCTGTGACACAGCTACCCTGTAACCAACTCCGGCCTGGGCATGACACCCCCCACCCCATCTCTGCATGCTTACAAGTGAGTCATAAAGGGTGACTCCAGACCTGAGAAAATGCCAGCTAT